CTGTAGTAAGAAAAAAAATAAATAACCTACTGGTGACATTCGGTGTTAATTGAAGACATTCTTTGGTTTGAGGAACTGTTAGTTCGGAATCGACTGAGCAATCAAGATTTTGAGAAGGATTGGCGATGATGTCAACTGTGCATTCGGTATGCACACCAGCAAGTTCATTTGCTGATAATTCGTTGCTATTGTATGCCACAGGTAACTTGTAAGCAGGCTTGTCTGGACGAAAGATAGAGCATGGCTCTATAGCTATTGCGCCCGATGACATTATTGGAGAGAGGCAAGTGGACACAGTATCTAGACCAGTTATTCGAGCTAATGCATCGACAGGCCTAGTCGTGCTTCTGGCTGATAATGTGATCGATGAGACAGTCAAAATGGGTGAGTTTTTCACTTCATCATGAGGATTCAGTTGCATAATCGATGATATGACGCTTGAAGAGGGAGGCTTTGCATGTGAAGGTTCTAGGGATAGTGACTCAGTATAGCAATGGTTGCTATCATATGGATGCCTATTTGCTACAGGAGTCTCAGTTTCAAAAGCCACGCCAGAAACTGTTTGAAAAGTTTCCTGGGAGATACCAGGGTGAGAAACAAGGCAGGAAGCAGAAATTGTTGAATATTCTGAACCAATAGGCTGATTCATTGGTTGTAATTTAGCAGGGGAGTTGATAGTAGTGGTAATTGCAGTTAAGGCACCAGAAGTGGTGGAAGAGAGAGGAGAGATTAATATATCTGTCGGTCGGCTTGCAGATAAAGTCATAGCTTGGTGATTGCCGTCGACGGAAGACAGCTTGGAAGTAGAAAGTATAGGAGCTCCAGGCTCTTCATCACTAGCCTCAAGTGAGTTAAAGTCGTCCTCTGAGAAAGCGGTAAATGTAGTGAATTGGCGAGTGTAAATAGAGTCCTACACAATGTGTGTATGAAGAATGTTTAAGTGTGAAGATAGAAAAGTATAGGAGAAAAAGACAAGTTAAAATGGCTATTTGGAATCAAGTTAAATGCTGCAAAATATTTAGAAGATAAAACAGTAAAATATACATTTGAACAGAGGGATCACTTTAACTTATCCATATAATAGAATGCAGAGAACACTAGTAAATCTCTATTTAGCTGGACAGACGCAAAACAGTTGTGGAGAATGCAGACACAAGATCATTTGCTAGCATATCTGAAGCCTGAAAAATATATGAAGCTCTAAGCACCTGCACCGTTTGAAAAAATGTCCCTGATGCCTTTTAAGCGTATGTAAAAGTGGCCGAGCATCTCCTACAAAATAAAAAGTTCATTTCTGTCAAAATTTTCGATGATTGAGGCGAAGAAGCAGGGATAATCTCAGTTTTAAGGTGCCAGCAACAACAGCTTTCAGTCACTTTATTGCAGCAGTAAGCTAAAACCCATTTCAATAATACCTGACGGTACTTAAAAAACAAATCAAGGAAGAAATCACTCGTTTATCCTTACAAGAATTACTAATCAAGCCACTTCCTTCAATTTGTACGGTTTTCCTTCTGATGATATAAGTGGGAAATATAATTCTAGTGGCTTAGATTGACAAATAAAGAAGTTCTAAGAAAATATCATATCACATAATTATAAAACATTAAGGAGTTCGTATACCCTTCTGAAGTCAGAATCATAATAAACGGGAGAGTAAATAATTTTCATAAAAATATAATGGGATAATTCGCATAGTTCACTTGAATGTAATTAT